ATATATATGTGGGTGTATATGTGTGTGTTTGTGTGTGTGCGTGCGTGCGTGTATGATAACATATTTCGTACCAACACTCGTTTCCAGTGTTTTAACAGTGAACTGAATCTCTTCATGAATTCTCTCCTCCATGGATTTCTTCCCAAGGCCAAAGTTTCTCAGAGTCATCACTGCAAAACAACGATGTTCCCTCCAAACAGGCCCATAATCGGCTAGAATCACTCCTGCAACAGAGCAACATTTTCTGCATTAATTGTTGTAAAATAGAAATGTTTCTAACTTAATAACTTAATAACTTAATAACTTTAATGTACTTGTCTGCTATCGGTCTCGTCACGGTATTTAGCCTTAGATGGAGTTTACCACTGGCTTTGGGCTGCATTCCCAAACAACCCGACTCCGAGGAGACCGGAGCCCAGTGTGCCGAGGGCCGACATTGGCCTCGCACCTTCCACGGGTTGAGCGTCAGTCAAGAGGACTCAGACCCTCAAGTGCACTGGGCAGGCGGTCTCCTGTATGCCACATGTCTCGCGTCCGCCAGATGGACGGGGATTCAGCGCTGGGCTCTTCCCTCTTCGCTCGCCGCTACTGAGGGAATCCTTGTTAGTTTCTTTTCCTCCACTTAGTAATATGCTTAAATTCAGCGGGTCATCTTGTCTGATCTGAGGTCATTGGATAGGGTTTGTGTGCGTGGCTCAGGGACCCTCCGGGGAGGGCTGGAGGCTCACTGACTCAGGGGCAACGGGACGTTTGTTCCGGAGAGATGACGTGGCCTACCTAGGGTCCGACACATTGCCCACACTGGAGCTTCCCCTGCAGTCCTACCCACAACACCTCCGCCGAGACAGCCTGTGCGTTCGGGAAGCAGAAACAGACAACTAGGAGGAACAAGTTCCACTGGCGGCCGATCTGCGCCTCGTGCAGGAGCTCGACGAAGAAGCCGCCCCTCCTGCACCGGTCAGAGACCGGGTCGAGGAGGGAGGGAAAATGGAACGGAGGCATTGCGGACGATGGAGGTACGGTCCCGGATGGGGCCAGACGATTGCGTGCTGGGCAACCCGACATGTCTGCACTTAGGGGGACAAAGGTGTGAAGACAAGCCCTCTACCTGCAAAGCCCCAACCGCGGTCACGGCAAGCCGTGTCTGATTGATGACCGAGCGACCCTCAGACACGCGAAGCCCCAGGATGGACCCGGGGCCGCAAGGTGCATTCGAAGTGTTGATGGTCAATGTGTCCTGCAAATCACATTAGTTCTCACAGCTGGCTGCGTCCTTCATCGACTCACGAGCTGAGTAATCCACCGCTAGAAGTTGTCTGAGATTTTGAGGTTGACCGGGATCTGAGACAAAGGTTTAACCGGGTCTTCCCATCTCCCGGGCACTCCACACTACGCCCCGGAAGGGGCAGGGAGGAGGTATTAAGCCCCTCTCTTCTTCCAGGCTGAGGGAGAGAGTAAGGGCACCCATGGAGGCACGCGGTGTTCAGCCGGAGTGGATGCTGTCCACCATGCTGCGTTTTCAGGTTCCTAGGGTAGACTCTGGCTGAGTCGTGGGGCGCAGTCGCCCATCGCCAGTCTCCATGCGAGGCCCACATCCTACGATCCCCCTCCAACCCGGGGTAATGTGGTAGTGGGCCTCGCGCAGTGCGGAGGCGGCGTTGGACGTGCAACTCGTGAGTCCAGCAGGCAGCAGTGCCCAGACTAGGAGACTGTGGTAGAGAGAAGGGGGCACGCTCGCATTGCCCGGGGCCCATGAGGGGCTCCGGATGACGGAGGGGCACGTCTCACGGGGCGCGCTCACATCGCCCGGGGCCCCTGACGTGTTCCGGGCAACGGAGGGGCATGTTCTACGACCTTCACTGTGGACCCGTGGGTGCTCTTATGGCCCAGAGCATCACTGATGCGGGTCCGCCGCCCCTCAGTCCAGTAGTGGAAGTCCACCCCAGGTGGTCGACGACGGGCCACACAACCGACGGCCGCTCCAGGCCAGAGCGCTTGGTAGGGACAACGAGCAGCTTGACCCCAGGTGGGTGGTACTCCACAGTCCAGTGCCCTGCAAGTGGGTCTCGGCTCTCAAACAACGGTAATGATCCTTCCATAGGTTCACCTATGGAAACCTTGTTATGGCTTTAACTTCCTCTAGATAGTCAAGTTTAATCGTCTTCTCAGCCCTCCGCAGGGACCATTGCCGATACCCGGGGGCCGATCCGAGGACCTCACTAAACCATCCAATTGGTAGTAGCGATGGGCAATCTGTACAAAGGGTAGGGACTTAATCAACGCAAGCTTATGACCCGCACTTAATTCCTCGTTCATGGGAAATAGTTGCAATCACCAATCCCCATCATGAGCGGGGTTCAGCAGGTTACCCACGCCTCTCGGTTAAGGGTAGACACGCGCTGGCCATGCACCACCACCACCGACAATATTGAGAAAGAGCTATCAATCTGTCAATCCTTTCCATTTCTGGACCGGGTGAGGTTTCCCATGTTGAGTAAAATTAAGCCACAGACTCCACTCCTGGTGGTGCCCTACCATCAATTCCTTTAAGTTTCAGCTTTGCAACCATACTCCCCTGGAACCCAAAGACTTTGGTTTCCCAGATGCTGCCCGGCGGGTCATGGTGAGTAGCGCCACCGGATCGCTAGTCGACATCGTTTATGATCGGAACTACAATGGTATCTGATTGTCTTCGAACCTCCGACTTTCGTTCTTCAATAATGAAAACATTCTTGACAAATGCTATCCCTTTCGTCTGTCTTGCGCCGGTCCAAGAATTTCACCTCTGGCGGCACAATACGAATGGTCTCTCTTAATCATGTTCAGTTCGGGGAAAACCCACAAAATAGAACCGGAGTCCTATTCCATTAGTCCTAGCTGCGGTATTCAGGAAACCGGGCCTGCTTTGAACACTCTAATTTTTTCTAAGTAAACGCTTCGGACTCCGGCTGGACACTCAGGTAAGAGCATCCGGGGGGTGCCGAGAGGCAGGGGCTGGGACAGACAGTGGCATGGCACGCCTCGATACGAGCCATCAGCCCGATCCCGAGATCCAACTACGAGCTTTTTAACTGCAGCAACTTTAAGATAAGAAGCTATTGGAGCTGGAATTACCGCTTCTGCTGGCGCCAGACTTGCCCTCCAATGGATCCCCATTAAATGATTTAAAGTGCACTCATTCCAATTACAGGACCTCAAAAGTCCTGTATTATTATTTTTCATCACTACCTCCCCGAATTGGGAGTGGGTAATTTGTGCGCCTGCTGCCTTCCTTGGATGTGGAAGTCGTTTCTCAGGCTCCCTCTCTGGAATTGAACCCTGATTCCCCATTACCCGTTGTAACCATGGCAGGCATGTGGCGTGCCATAGAGCAGACACCCGAAAGAGATGTCGCCACCAAGGGGGCTAGCGATTAGCTCGAGGTTATCTAGAGTCACCAAAGCAATGGGGTTATAGCCGGGAGACCACCCCGCAAGGGTTTTAGATCTGATCAATGCACGCATCCCCGGAGGTCAGCGCTCGTTTGCATGTATTAGCCCTAGAATTGCCAAAATTATCCAAGTACCGGTGAATGATCAAAGGAGCAAAAACTGGTTTAATGAGCCATTCGCGGTTTCACTGTACCAGCCATGTGTACTTAGATGTGCATGCCTTAATCTTTGAGACAAGCATATGCTACTGGCAGGATCAATCAGGTAGCGTCCACCACCAGAGGGCAATGGGCAGGACACAGGCAGGACACCTTCATTTCCAGGATCTGTGTAAGTACCGCTGAGACTCAGTCTTCCGCTCGGTCCCGTCACCAATAGTTCGAGTCTTGGGCCGTGGCAGGTGCGCTTGCCAGTGGTAGCCATACTCTAGAGGCAAACACACTAGTGTGCAGACACCCGTCTCCCGTGCACTGACCGTTGTGGGGCCGGGGCCGGAGGGTGTCCTGCAAAGGCATGTCTCGGTGTCCAATCGGTCTGATGGAGAAAGAACCCCGTGAAACTAGTACAAGATAGGTAGATAGGGCTCCAAAAGCAGCTCAGTTGGATTCACAGTGTGCCAAAATGGGTGTATGTAGACCAAAATGGCATTCGGGGGCAAGACATGGGCTCCAGACCCTCGGAAACGGGTTCACGGTGGGCCAAAACATGAGTATTCTTGCTGAAACAGCTCCCGGAGGCCCGGAAACCCYTCAAAAATGCAAAAAATCATACCTGATTAATTGCAAACCCCTGAATATAGCTTAGAACCGCAAAAAAATGCAACCAATAAATTCGAAACACTTCAAAACTGTAAAAAACCACTTAGAACCAGGCTAAGGGGGCATAGGAAGGCAGCCAACCCTTCAAAACCGCGCAAAACCCGGGTTCGGAGGAACCAGGAGGGCCGCTGACCCTTCAAAACCACTCTGAACAGGGTTAAACCTGTCAATGGGGGCCTAACAAAAACTGTCAAAATTAGTCAAAATCAACCTTCGTCCTGTGGAAAATGCTCAAAACCGGCCAAAAAGAGCTTAAATGCCCCCCCCCCCCCCCCCACCGCTCCTCTGGGGGCCTCCCCGCATGTCTCCCCACCCGTTAGAACCGTTTCAGCCCATCCGCCCGGAACATCCAGAACCAGGCCGGTACTGCCCCAGATCAACCCAGAAAAGGAGCAACCTCCATCATGCTCATAATGTTGAAAATCCCCTTGGAAAATCAACCAGGAGTCCTCAATCCGTTAAAAAGAAACCTTGTTCGGATAGAGCCACTTGCTTTTCCCCCGTCAAACCTCCAGGAGGACTGAAACTCACAGTCATGTGAAATTTTTCCGAGTCCAAATCTTATCGCTCAAAACCTGTGTGGAAAATTTCCGGGTTTCTGAAATCGTGCTGAAACATGTTTGAGTTGGGCAGCGGCACCCTCTCACCTGCAATCTGCAGTCAGACCCTTACTACAGCTCTCAGGTAAAACTTAGAAAAATTTCAAGCCTGCCGCTCGAAAATTGCACAAATTGTTTTATCTGGGGCTTGTATTCAACCCTTACTACAATGCCCAGGTGCATCTGGGATGGGCATGCTGGCGAGGAAGGCTGAATTTTTCTTTTTACCTGCGGTTGTAGTCGACATTTACTGCTGCTTGCAGGTGAAATTCAGGGGGCTTTCTGGAGCCCCCAGACCGGCTTTTTCAGCGCTTTCTTTAGCCAGATCTGTTACTTTTATTCCCTGGAACATTTTTGTCATGTGGGTTTTTGAATTTGAACCATTTTTGCAGAATTATGAAGCTCCAGACCTCCGAGATTCAACCATGTATAAAACGCAGGGATGAGCTTCTAGACCCGGTTTCACCTGACGAAATCTGTTCCTCTCTGCCCCTGGAACATTTCTCAGGTGGGTTTTTGAATCATTTACCTTTCCGCTGAGTAATGTCATTAATTAACATGTCTTGAGGTCGACCAGCGTAGTCTGTGGCCTTTACCAACATGGCCTCCTTCATGGCCTTCAACCCATTGATGACCACAGCTGGTTTAGATCCAAGGAACAGGCTGTAGACATTTCCATAGGTCTGTCTGAGCTGCAAGAAAACCAAACAAAACATGACTTCCTAAAGTGTTCAGTTGTCCTCCTCCTACAACGCTGTTATTGCAAGTATGATTCAGCCCCCTGTGAGTAAAAGGTGTGAATCAGGGTCCCAATGATACCCAACACAAAGAGTGAAAGAGGGACAAATACAAGGGGATGTTGAACCCCGCTTGCACTCACTACATACACAAATTACAAAACACCAAATAACCACAGCCGAAGCATCCAAACCAATAAGTCAGGTGATGGGGCACATGACCCTATATGAACAATAGAGCTAATCAAGCCGATTGCTAGGTGAAGGTCCTCTTTTGCATGTGACTAAACTGTTTGTCCATGTGGGGGCAGTGCTCATAAGGCTGAGTTCACCTGAAACTCATCAGACTGAAGAAGTCTCTTGGGGGAGAGACAAAACATTTCACTAAGGAAGAACCCATCCAGAGGACCTACTTATTTTTTTTCTTTTGGATGACTTCCTAAAGAAACATATTTTATCCTGATACGTTTTGAAGGAAGTTAAAATACTTTTTTTGTTGTTTTTGTTTTTCATTCTGGCAGCATCAACATGATAAAATCACAGTTAGTAAAAAGTTGTCAAACAAATTGCCTCAGATCTTCATGTTGGTTTACTACAGTGTTAACAGCTGCCATAGTCAGGGTCAAAGGTCAAAGGTCATTAATTATTTGTCCCCAGATGTTTTGGGTCTGATGCAAAAAGGAGCCAGAGTCTAAACAAAAACCTTGAAAGACTTTCAGAAAACACAAAATACTGATTATTAAAAAGACAATAAGGAGCATTTGAAAAAGTGAGATATGAGGCACCAGGTGTAAAATAAAATATTAAAAAAATTCACCAACACGTTCTTATTATTTAGCTCACTGTTCTTACATTTTGCCAATTTTTGCATATGTTAAATGTAAATGTTGTGGAAAATGATAAAGTTTACATTTAAGGTTTTCAGAATGGAACTCAGCAGTGGTGGACAAAGTATTCAACTCTAGTACTTGAGTAGGACTGATACTCATGGTCAAATCTTACTCAACTTCAAGTATAAGTTGCTCGGTCAAAAGTCTACTCAAGTTAAAGTACTGAAGTACTTACTTCTGAAAATACTCAAGTACTCAAAAGTTCATGCATGTGAAATACTCAAGTATTCAAAAGTACAAATTAAAATGTGTAATATGAGTACATTTCTGTTTTGTTTTCAGAGTGATTATACAGAACCTTGAAACTCTCAGAAACCACCTGATGTATCGACAGGTAGAACCACTCTGCTACAAATTCACCTGTAAAGACTTCAGCATAAAAATACAATAAAGTGAGCGGTGAGTTCTTAAATGCAGAAATGTAGTTTATCCAGGTGAACACAGAAGACATTTAAACTGATACAAACTATTTTTCAGTCCTAAAATCTCAAACATGGAGCTGAGATTTGACCATGGCTGGTTTCTCTACACTCGTCAACCATCTCCGCGGGTTCTGTTTGAAATGAAGGTGGAGCTCAGGCTCAGCATGTGACAGTTAACGAAGATGATGTCATTCCAAATCTACCTCAGGTGTGAACTATAACTGTGATTGGTTCCCCTTGTGAGGAACATAGCGTGTGGCCAAAAACATCAAGAAATCTAGTACATCAAGAAAGAAAATCAATTACATCAAGAAAATAAACAGCAACAGTAGATTAAAAAACTATGTTGAGGCCAAAGTAACAAGTAACTAACAAGCTTCTAAGAAATGTAGTGGAGTCCAAAGTATAATAGTTGTCTTTGAAATGTAGTGGAGTGAAAGTCATAAGTTCCAAAAAAATAAAAACAGTTACTCAAGTAAAGATACTGAAAAAATGTACTTGAGTACAGTATTCAAGTAAATGTGCTCCATTACTGTTCACCACTGGAACTTAGCCAAAGCAAATAAAGGTGTTCAAATTTTATCAGTCTTTAAGTTACTATTTTTACAGAATTCAAAATAATGTCTGTAGTAATAGTAACAGTACAGTAAAACAACACATTGTGTGCAGCTAGCATTAAAAGCTACATTAAAAATGTTTTTATCATTTTTAAACTAAAAGTTTAAAAATACATTACACGGACGGGGCCATTTTATTTCCATGCAAAGCATTCTGGGTAAAAGATGACATCAACTAGATCATCGGTATGAGGCTGCTAGCGAACTATATCCACCCCGAAGGTTAATCTTGGACAATATCTGATGATCGACTCTTTTAAATGAAACCAGAGAGCGTTGACAGAGAGGAGAAGGTAGAAATGACTCAGCCTGGAACTGAARATATGGATGGAGGACAACAGAGCTGCTTCGTGGAAGAACCTCAGCTTAGCCTGTTAGTCTTTGCACTAGCGCCCACGCTATATTGCCTAATATGTATTAGCTTGGCTTGAACATGACAAACAAGCTAAACTGTTGTCCTCCATCCATATTTTCAGTTCCAGGCTGAGTCATTTCTACCTTCTCCTCTCTGTCAACGCTCTCTGGTTTCATTTAAAAGAGTCGATCATCAGATATTGTCCAAGATTAACCTTCGGGGTGGATATAGTTCGCTAGCAGCCTCATACCGATGACCTATCCACGTCATCATTTACCCAGAATGCTTTGTGTGTAAATAAAATGGCTCCGTCCGTGTTAAAATATATTTTAAAAAATCTACAAAACTAAACAGCCTACAGTATTTTTACAGTYTTTATTTTACAGTTAAAATAAATGTTTATCAAATAAAGTTTAATGTTACAACTAACCGTGGATCCCTTTAAGTCATAAAGGAAATTCAAACACAACACACTGATATGGAATATTTTATTTAATTGCATACATGGTTTTTTATCTTGGCGCTGCTGCAGAGAAACCTGCAGCAACTCTAAAGGTAAATAAAGCTGTAATCTTGCGCAAAGATCAACACTGCCCCCAACTTTTTAATCAATTAAGATGTTAGATCACCTCATTTTGAAATGTGTTAAAGAATAATATTTTACAAAAGAAATTATATCATTTCTTTACCTGCTCAAGGTCCTTCAGGAGGTTCTTTGAGGTCAGATGTAAAAAGGTCCCCAGTACCGGCAGGATGGGGGGTCCTGGTGGGAAGTTCTTGGGTCTCCGAGCTTTAAGTTGAAAGAGAATGAAGCAGAAACAGAACCACAGCAGAACTATGGAGACAAACATGGTGCTGGACTGGACTCTGGTCTCTGACGGCTCTGGTTCTGAACTTTGATTCTTTCTGATCAAAGTGAGCGAGGACATCTAATTAAATGATTAATCAAAAAACAGGAAGTGAAATATTGCTGCAACAAAGGGGTGGATCCTCAGCTGCTGTCTGATGAGCAGTGTCATGTTTTTTAATTTATTTTACAGGTTAATAATAACTCTCTCTCTCTAACTCTCTTTAGACAGCTGGGTTCGTCCTTGATTTCAATTTTTTTCATTCTTCTACCTTTAAGAACTCCTTTGCTTCAGGAAACAATCTTTAAAGATTCGACCCCGAGCTCACAGAGGAAGGTAAATAAAAAGTTTAGCTTCATTCAGATTCAAAAGGTGTCTCGTTTCCAGAGAGATGCAGTTTTATTTGTACCACATAAACAATCAGATGTTGAGTTTTGAGTTATTGTCCTGAAGTGAATGGTTTAATCTGGAGCGCCATGTTTCATTCTTGGGAGATTAAAAGTGCTTGATTCTATTCCTGAGTATCAGCAGGGGTCAGCTCCAGTGCTCTGTTTGTAGTGCCAATAACAAGCGACCATTTATTCTGAACACAAAGTGCACAAATGACCTAAAATAGTAAGTCTGAGGAGCAGGGCTGAGTGCTGACCTGTTGGTTCCACATGCTTTCTCTTTTCATTTCTCTGTTTTTCAGTTTCAACATGTATTTTCCATTTTCCCACCCAGAGAGAAGAAGTTTCCTACAGACTGCAGGGTCACTTGTGCTTCCTATGGTTTCTAAAATGGGAGGCTCAGTTCTC